AACCACTTTTTGAAAACCAACTAAATACTGCTTCTATGATAAACATACAAATAGTAACTTCATTTCATGGGTTATTTATATTTCATTATTCTTTATTGTAGAGATATAAGTTGAGAGAATTTTTCAATTTTTACTGTTTGCAGTACACCTGAATATCTTATGTTTAAATATATTTACTTAGACCGTAATAAATTATTTGTTTGATTTAGTAAAAATCAAGTGCGACGCAGTGGTTTCAATTGAGACCAGATCAGACTTACCAATTTGTTGATTTCTTGTTATACCTGAATGACACTACTCTTATGATACTCTTTATTTATCATCAGATATAATATATTACAGCATACAAAGGTAGACATTGTCTGGTTCTTATGTATATGATTAATATTGTATTCGATTACTATACTATTTGGTTTACTTTTTATGTCTCTTAGTCAAAAGCATACAAATATACATTTTGTCGGTTTACTGCATATTGCGCTGTTGCAGCAGTTTTTCAATTTTACCTTCCTCTCGTAGTTCCCACACAGTTTTATCGCTTATGAATTAGAGAAAAATATTGAATACGATCAAGATTTGATTCTATTTGAAGACGAAGAAAATATTTCCAGTAATAATACGTTAACTTAAAACAGATTACACAGAAATCACTCCGTTGTTATTGAATTTTGTAGTAAAGAAATGAGTTTGAGTTCAATAGCTCTGAAAAGTCCATCTAGTTTTGAACTAGTGATTATGTGGACTTAAGTCGTTTAAATAATATTTTCTTGTAGAATCGAAGTAATTAAGCAGCAAATAAATTTTAGAGAACTGCGGATAGCTATTTCATCCTTATTTTAAATCTTTGGGAAAATCATTAAAGCATTTGTAATGCACCTTTGTTGAAATCAGTCTCAACAGATTTAGTAAACAATACAGTTTCTTAATGGAGTTTGCTCCTTTAAACGTGGGTACTGATTAGCGACTTTTGTATAAAACGGAATAAAATAACTTGGTTCATGAGCAGCCTAAAATATTATCAGACGGACCATTTTCTAGAATCGTGAACCGTGAAATGGGATGAAAGTATATTTCTGGCTATTTTATTGCATTATGAGAGAAACAACGAATGCCTTCGTCTAGTTTTTAAGAAATTTGTAGCACAAACCTCTAGAAGTAACGCCAGTTGCGGTTTTTTAACAACCATAATGTAGCCACCATACTAAACATCGAATTCTTATGGAACATTAAACAAAGAAAGGAATGACTCCCGCTTATTTTATTTGTACACTTATCGAATTCGTAAACATACATTTGAAAAGGTCACTTTATAATGAAATGGAAATGGTATAGGATTTATGTGTCGAGACTGCAAATAAAATAAGTAATAGAGTAGATACTTATATAAAAATACATGTGGATAATTTCATAATTAACTGCACATATCGTTGTAACTGTAATCAATTGAATAACTTGTTCTAAACAATATAAACTAACAATTTACATTAATCACTACAATAATTAATATAATCTGTTATATTAAGAATTTTTTGCAGGTTGAAATTTCTATAACCCTCCACAAAACCCATTCTGATAAGAATTTTTTGGTTAGATGGAGTAGAAAACAATGAGCCAAATATGCAATAAAATTAATTTACAGAGTAAGGATGGTTAGTCAGTTAGTAGTGTGATAATTCCGTTACATAAACTTGGTGATTTTATCTACATAGGGTTGTGACGGTAGAAAGATGTACTAATGTGCAGCAAGGATTGATTTATTGTTAGCATTGTAAATTTGGTGTTCGATAACATATTTGACTGATCGAGAGCAGCTTTTTAAATGTTACCACCTCGGACAGCAACATATCGAAGTGCTAAAATATTTTGCCCATAACAACTTAATAGTCGAAGAAGAGGCCTGGGACAAATGTGCGCTGGATTCTTGAGATAAGATAAAGCAACAAGGTGAATAGGAGGGTTCTGGTAACCACATGGACCCCAACCAGATAGTCTTTATCTAATTGCATAGCTCAGTCCGATAGTCAGAGTTTTCAAGGACTGATGACGTGGCTTGATCTGACCGCCCCTAGATTCTTATCAGTTTAACCCTACACGAGCTATCATTGAGCATCGAGGTAGGTGGTGGATGGGCATAGATAATACATGCTTCAACAACATCAACCGATGGACATTGGCCATCTCATTAATCGATTCGCCATCCTTACCCTGTACTTGCTTTATGTCTAACTTCCCCCATTACACACTCAGTGGTTTTCCAACGTAAAAGAGCAATGCTTCAAGGAAACCTATGACCGAGTACTGGCAACCTACGAATATCCTCTATTCATGATGGCTATGTTCCATACCCACAAAGTAGGATGGATAGAACTGCTGCATAGTAAACTCGTCCATTGGTATGTAAACGGATATCTCACTTACTCTACGAGTGACACAAGTTAGCAAAAGCCAACCGGGCTCTCTGAACCCGTGTCAAAATCTCGTCAGACACCAACCCACTAGGGCTCGAGTATCGGATTAGCCTTGAAACTGATATTTCAACACTGTTAGTCGAACTGATTTCTCTGTGGTTATCACAAGAGTAGTTTTATCCTTTTTTTATAAACCGCAACGATCGGCCATCGACACCAGTGAGATGGGATTACAACCAGTCCCCGAAAGTCAGCTAAGATTTTAATCAATCTAACTGCTAAAACTTGACAACTACGCTCAAAGATTTTTGAGGCTGATTTGTCTGAACCTGCTGCATTCCCTCGCTTTAGATTCCTCATAACCTTTTGAAATAACATTCGGTTTCCTCCCTTACGCCAATGGAAAACTAACTTCCCTTAGACGAATATCTACACTAGATACCCTGCCATAGTCTATTCTACAGGACTTCAACAAAACTCGAATCAAGAACACGTGACTGGTCTAACTAGAACATGGGTTTATTTCTACGTCAACAACCGACAATAATATTAATAACAAGGGTAGGAAAATATACAACATTCGTAATACCTGTCAGACTAAATAGACAATCAATCACTATTTTCCTGGCCCACACACCTTTTCAACTAAGAGTTGGAGAGCTTATGTAAAGTCAGCATTCAGAACGCTTAAAGATGATGGGTGACAAGTGTGGCTGAGGGCCTGTTGAACTATTCTCTAAAGTGTTCTATCCATCAGAATTATTATATCACATTCCCTTGTACTAATTCATATTGACATGTTCGATTCGGTAAGTGTTTCTTTATTCATCATCAATATATCTTCCGTTATATGATGGATGATACTAGCAGTTGACTCCACTAAAGGGCTTCCGAGATAGGGTAAAATCAGAAACATGTTCTTGTATCTTAAAATATACAGGCATGCGAATGCCGGTTACATAAAAATGAGTCTAAAATACAAACTAGCATTCAGTAATGAAACCAGTGACAAAAGGTCAGCTTAGAGCACATATAAGAAAAAGGATCAATTTAATTGGCTAGGGTAACGAAATTCGTGTAACAATATAAGTTACTAACGAGTAATATCAAAAAATTACATCTCAAAAATTTTATACAAACCAACGGAATTACTGTCTTCGCTTTTATTTATTTATTGGGATACATAAATATTGGTACAAAGGGGTATGAAATACATATGCACCATACAAGTCATTTGATTTGTGTATGGGCTGTGACACTGTCCGGGGGCGCAGACCGTAGCAGGTCTTCTCAGGAAGAATAAGTTAAACTGCTACCAAAACAACATTTGTATTTTTCAAGTAGTTTGCCTTTACTGAGATAAAAATGCCTAAGAAATAGGATGAACACCATGTTTTGAAGACAGTTCACAAATTGGTTTATCACTAGTCATGAATTGGTCATCCGGAATCAATTTTGATAGAAGAATCATGTAATATGCATAGATGATTATCAAAGTTTAGTCATAACATGCGCTGACGATGTATTTTGTGCTGTATCACTTGGGGCTGTGAAACTCGGACACTATGAATATTTCAATCTCAGTTCAGTCAGTCAGCTACAACGTAGGACCAGGCACATATATACATCGGTTCAAGATGCCATACCTCATTAACACAACAAGATGGACACCGGATTCATAAAAGTAGTTAATTCAGAGGTGGTAATATATAAAAGAAAGGTTGCATATAAGGATATATTACAGGAAGAAAGAATTAGTTGGTAGAAAGAAGGATATGGAGCGATTTTAATCTCATAGTTTAAGGGAAGACAGAGAGTGTATACATCTACGCCATTGTGATCGATTCTGAGCCATGTCACCAAGAGTCTCCAACCATTAGTTACGATAGTCACGCGGACCCCAACCAAGTAGTCTGCATCTACCAACATGGCTCATACCAGAAGTTAGTGACTTCAAGGACTGATGCCACGTTTTGGTTTGGCCGCCCCCAACTTTCTTCCAACCATCTCCAACACCGGTCAGCATTGCACGTCGTGGTAATCGGTGTTCGGGCATACGTAACACGTGGCCCAACCATCTCAGTCGATGAAGATTGACAGCCTCATCAACTGATCTACCAGCATTCCCTAATACCCTACTTCTAACCTCACTATTACTTACCCGGTGAGCCCAGCAGATACCAGTATTATTTCTAAAACATCTGTTGTCAAATACTAGTAGCTTACGAGTATCTTCTACCCTCAATGGTGGCGTTTCGGAGCCGTAAGTTAGAACAGATCGAACTTCTGCGCAGTATACTAGTCCATTAATTGATAGACGGCTATCTCGCCTTCGCCATAGGTGACTTAAGTTAGCAAAAACCAAACGAGCTTTTCGAATCCGTGCTGAGATTTCGCCAGACACCAACCCATTACGGCTGATCAGACTTCCAAGATGAGTGAAGTTGTCAACGCGTTCGACTACTTCACTCCCTATCCTTAGTTCAGATTTTAATGCAGGCTAGTCCTGATGCAACAACTTGCATTTAGAGGGAGAGAAGCGCATCCCAAACATTCTGGCATTGTTGCTCAGTGCTACCAGAAGACTCTGCATTTTGTCAGCCTCTTCACCAAACAGGACTATATCATCTGCGTATTCTAAGTCGATAAGTGGACCTCCTGGAAGGAGATCAATACCCGAGAATTCAGTCGACGAGAGTGTTATTTCCATCAATAGGTCTATGATGAAGTTAAACAAAAATGGAGAAAGTGGACAGCCTTGACGGACACCACTTGGAGTTGCAAAAGTAGATGACAGTTCGCCATAAGCTCTGACTCGACTAGTAGTGTTCGAGTAAAGAGCCTTCACAAGGTTTATGTACTTCTGAGGTACGCCTTTCAATGACAGACACTGCCACAGAATCTCGCGGTCTACCGAGTCAAATGCTGCTTTTAAGTCAAGAAAGACCACCATTGTCGGACGCCGATAAGTATGCCTATGTTCTAGAACCTGATGAATGGTGAATATGTGGTCGATGCAGCCACGACCAGGTCTGAAGCCAGCTTAATTCTCTCGTGTTTGCAGTTCGCGAGTCTTAGTTAGGCGTCTGATAATTATCGAGGCTAGTATTGTAGATACTATATTAGTTAAACTAATCCCTCTATGGTTGTCACAAGATGATTTTGACCCTTTCTTATCTGTTGGGACGATAAGTGATTGTGACCAGTCAGATGGAATAACGTCTAACTCCCAGATCTTAGCTAAAACATTAGTCAACCTACTCGCTTAAATTGGACCATCATCCTTAAAGACCTCTGGAGCCAATCCATCTGGACCAGCTGCCCTTTTTCGTTTCAGATTAACTATAGCCTTTTGAACTTCTGCTAGAGTTGGGGGACCTACCCTAATGTTCCATTCACACTGTCTGGGAATAGAGGGTAAGTGTAGAGTAGCTGAAGGCCAGCTGAACTGTTCTCTGAAATGCTCCGCCCATCGTTCTAAACGTCTTGACTGAGAGCAGATGAGGGTGTCGTCTTTTTCCGAGATAGTCTCACTTACACTTGACTTATTAATTCCAGTTTCTTTTATTAGTCTATAGAGCTGTCTTGTATTCCTTACATCCACCGCCTTTTCCATCTCTTTTGCTTTCATCGCCCACCATTGCTCATAGTCGTTCTTTAGACTTTTGGTTAACCTAGATCTGATTTGTTTTCGCTCTTCATCGTGTTCAGAGCCTGATGGGATGAGTTTACGAGAATTCATCAGTGCAATAGACCTTGAGGAAATCCATTGGTTCTTTGTAACCCTGTGGTTTAAATCACTGATAGATGTCACTGCTGTTTCCACAGCTGTTTGTATAGCTTTCCAAGCAACATCTGGGTCAACCTCGTTTTCAGAACTACCTAATTGTGACGTCAGTTGTTCCTGGAACCTACTTTTGGTTTTCTCGCTACTCAATTCAGTTCTAATGGGTCTTTTTAGTGTGGCTTTTTTGCGTCCAGTGAGGTGCAAGCAGATGCGTGCCCGTATTAGGGCATGGTCGGAGTCCAAGCAGGTACTCCAGAATGAGCGAAAATCTCCTATCGACCCTCTCCAACGATGACTGATGGCAATATGGTCTATTTGAGTCCATCGTTGGTTTGGTGTAGGGGGTTGCCATGTTAGACGACGTCTCTCCTTATGCTTAACATTTGTGTTTGCTAAAAATAAACGATTGTCTGAGCACAGTTGCAGCACACGATCACCATTATCTGTTTGTTGTGCCGGAATACTAAAATATCCACCTAAATGCCTTTCTTGGTTTAAACTACCTATCTGGGAATTAACGTCACCTGCTACGAGTACTATGTCTGAACGTTTAGCTTTCTGAAGAAGTTCAGATAGCTTTCTGTAAAATTCATCTTTCACTTCGTCTGAGCTGCAGTCGGTGGGAGCGTAGGCAGAAACGACAAAAAGGCAACGACGTGTGTCCCTATCCTTCCGAGTTCTTACGCGGCCGTTTAGTCGAACACCACATAAACGACTGTTAACGGGGATCCACTCTAACAGTGCTTGTTCCGCCCTCATGCTTAGTGCTATGCCCACACCGGCCAGTCTACGAGAGCTGGCCATGGGGTCACCAGATACACGGAGGGTGTATCTCGTTGGCTCTTCGTGTTGCCGAGGTGAGGTCAAGTGAATGACCACACTGGGATCCTGTATGAGTGTTTCAGAGACACAGCATACCTCAATGGTACGAGATTCTAGGGTTCTAGCCAGGGAAGCCTGTTGACCGATTTGACATAGGGTGCGTACGTTGAGGGTTCCAATGTGTAGTTTGGAGAGAGGTTTCAGTAGACCTGGGACAGTGTTCTGCGCACTAGAATCGTTGACTGTGGTGACACTTGAGGGGAAAGCCGAAAAAGGAAGTTTAGAGGTGAAAGTCGATGTAGGAGGAATAATGGGAAGTAAAGACGGAGGTTGATTATGAATACAGTGGTCTTGAGTGCTGTTAGAGGTATGAGGACGGTTATCACTTCCCGGTTGCCCACACCGTGGAAGGGTTCTTCTGGAGGTACCTGAAAAGGAAATTGGATTAGAGGTGGTCATAGTGACCTGGGAGCGTGACCGCAGTGCCCAAGGGACAACTGCTTGAGGTCGGTCACACACGACCTTTTTATGGGTAATTTTTGTGTTAGCTCCGTACATGTTGAGACCTTACCGCCGGAGACGGATAACCGTGGGATAAGGCGAGGTGTGCATTTTTAGAGTCGACCTTTTCTAACCCCACCCCTCCTTGTGGGAAGGCAGCATCGCTGTCATGCTGGTTGTCTGAAGAAAAAACCTTACTGCTGTCACACCTCTGTACAGTCAGCAGTACGACTTCGCCTTCGGACCTTGGGTTTGTTGCTTTTAGTCTTACCGCTCTTCAACCGACCTGTCTGACATGGTAGGACCTTGAGGAACGGTTGTTCCAGCCAGTATAGCTCGGTTGCTTCATCACGATAGGCAAGTCCGACCACCACGTCAAGGTAGCAACAACGGTCGGGTTAGTTAGTTACTTCTGAACTGAGATCAAGTTTACTATATGATAGGTCTTTTGAGAATATCTTGGGAATTCACATTAAACAATCAGAACTAGAATGAAATAACTAGGATAAAAAGTATGTTAAAGAATTTCTAGATACGTAATTCACTTTGCAAAATTGATGCATACAAAATTTATTCAGCAAAGTTTACCAGTGGCAGGACACGTCAGTGAATATGAAAAATAGGTGTATTGGATTATTGATTTACCCACTAAATACAAAGTCAATGCTGATTTTAATGCGTTTTAAGTGACCAGTGGAATTAATTTCACCAGGAGTATGGACATTACCTAAGAATAACACTAAATGATGGCTATGATGGATTTCAAACTGAGTGTAGTTGAAATACGTGGAGCGTTGAATCGCATTCGGTAGTTGAATGATATTTTGTTTGATGTGAGAAATGAATAAGTTACAAGTTTAATCAGCTCCTCAATAAAGCTTTAAACAGTCTCCATTTAGTTCGAGTGGATGAGGGTGAGTATTATTTGTCAGTATTTGAGTAGGGGTGTGAACTATGTCAAAGATTCTTAATGGTCGAAGTAAAGCTGAAAACTAGTTGGCAAAAAATTTACATGGAGAGCCAAATGAGTAAGGTAGACGACGAAAATGAGACATGGAATGCATCTTGGACATGCTTTTTCCTCCAGTAGAACTGATCAATGTTCTTAGATAAAAGTGCTCAATCTGAATAATTTGGAAGGTAAAAAATATCTTATGAAAGTTCCGTGAACTGAAAATGAGAGTAGTTCTATTGGATCTCATTATTTATCTAATTAAGACGTAAAAGCTTGGCACGATAAAAGTGCCGTATTTAATTAGTTGGATAGGGTTCACTGTCTACATAAGTGCTCAACACGCAAACACCAGTTTTAATGTAATGAGTATGAGAGGGAGACTTATATTCAATCAGATTATGAATAAAGTTTCTAAAACATTGCTTATCACCTATAAAAAACTGTTTACATGATGACTAGTTGAGATGTAATTACAGAATACATAGACCATTGATCCGATTTTTATGAGTTGAAAACACTGAGCCAGGTGAATGTTAGATATTCAAAATTTTAAGAAAGTCATGCGACGATATAGGATTAAAATACTATTGTTTAATCAACACTTACACTATCATAAAGGGAATAGTAATGAAACAACCAAATTAAGTTCAACAAATTGTGCTAATAAAACCTTCAATTATTTTACTTCAAAGCTTATGTGTAACCTGCCAAAACAGACGAGTTGTATCATCTATAAAACAAACAGCCCAATTGTTATATTCTTCATTAGTATTTCTCGACTCATAAGCCATTACAATTTGCTAGTAAGTGATAAAATAAACGAAATAAAATATTGGGAGAAATAATTTCTTGGAGTTGCAGTGGCAGGAAAAATGAAGAGGAGATAACAATAGGTGACATAATAACGTATTATTTGTCACGCGGTTAGGTTCAAAGACATTTTTATGATATCCATACTTTTTCTTACAACTTGGTGGTGTGATTGGGACATTAAAGAGAAAAAGTCACATCAAAGGGCAGAAACCTACCTTTCTTACATCACACAGAGATACTTCCTGAGGTGTAGTGATAATTATCGCCCCGTCTAAACACTCAGCAGCCTGAAGATACTGAACAACTGAGAGATGTTCATCAGATGTCCCTGGAGGAGTGTCTATGATTAAAAAGTCCAAATTAGTTCCTTGGTCTAGATTACTTTCTTCTTCGGTCCATGCGACGTCAGTGAGGAACTGGCGAATCAACGTGTTTTTGCGAGGGCCACGCCATATGACTGGGTGGTCAGGACTAGGCAGCAAAAAGCCCATAGACATCAAACAAAGATTTTCTGTCACAAAGACAGGAGACCAACCAGATTGGCTTTGGTGTACCTGAAATGAAAATTTTCATTCACAATACTTTTCAAGAATAATTAAATGTATGCACTTTGAAAGCCAACTGATAACATGGGTAGTGCAAATGACAAATACTGAAATGACAGATGGGTTGGTTAACACTAACGGAACCAGTGAATCGAGACAATTCACACATTACATAACTTCTAATGCTCACTAGGTTGATAAATCTGAATGATTCAATTTAAGTTGAATATTCTGTGGAAATAGATTTTCTTGAACACTTAGTAATAAGTTAACCCACCTTTGTGATATACGAACCAGAAGCCTCGCTATAAACCACACATATTATTAACAAAAGGACTGTAAAGGAATTACTTGTTTCTATTAAGTGTGAGCAATTATAATTTCTTAGTATTCTTTAGTCATAACTGAAACCAAATTTACGTCAGATGTTTTCACAAGAGCTAACTTTAGTTTGTTATCGTCAACTTGGGTTTTCGTTTTTACTGGTAATATGTAAACACAAACATAATTGAGGTGACATGGCTTGGAATCAGTCGCAATAGAGCACATGCATTTACTCATTTTCTTGCCTTAGATCCCAAGTTTCTAAATTCGTCGTAAATTCCTTTTCCACCAATTTACATTCTCTCGAAACGTATCTTCGATATCTAATCCTTTCTACTACCACTAATACTGTTATTTCCTACACTATTCTGATATAGCATAGTTCTGATTTGTGATTTACTTGAACACGATACATGAATGTTCCTAGGATGTATGTTGTGCATAAGTGACTGTCGTCTACTTTACTATTAGATTAGCTAGTCACTGTTAACAATCAAACTACTAATAGTAGCGTAGATTGGAGGTGATAAGAAACGGAAATGTACTAGCTAATTTTCTAAATATTAATTGTGAGGAATAGCAATAAACGTGCTTGTCTGAACATCGGTAGTTTTAGCGAAACAAGAACCTAAAACATCACAGGTTGAAAGTTAAGAATTTAAACTGTTGGATTATTACTTAACTGGATTAGAGAATAACGGTGATATTTGAATGAGATTGAAAGTGAATGGAATGAGCTACTAGTCGTAAGCATCCAAATATATTTTTGTTTACTTCTCCATATTTTGTTTGATCCAAATTTGCTTGGTGTAATTGTGGTTAGAAATAAACCTATGTAGATCAACCGATAGTTATATTTTATCTATACGGCGGAAAAAATTCTTGACTGAAGATCAATATTATACTTGTTTAGAGACTGAACCTTTTTGTTTAGATTACTAAGAGTAGTATGTTCTTTTATGAAGTATGTTTAAGAGAGATACTTGCAAATTATCATAACAGAAGTAAATCGAACAAGTGATTATAAAGGTTTACGATAATTAAATTAAATAAGAGGATGAGTTTCATCAATAAAACATTGGTAATAACTAAAGTTTGAGCGAAACTTTAAGAATTTAAATAAATGGGCTAGAAAACGATATTTGTTAAGTTAATTAGACAAGCACACAGTAACAAGGGATACCTTTTCATCCATGCAACCGAACATACATGGAATGGAAGGGCCGCAAAAATCAAGATCAAGTAGTCCAATACGATAAGTTTCATTGGAACCATTCGCTTGACTGCGTCCACGCCTGCTTAGTCCCCTAGCTAGACAAACTGAAAGACTACTTTTTCCAACTCCACCCTTGCCAGATAGAATAATAATTCTGTGGCGAATTGAACCAAGACGTCGTTTTATAGAGAGAATTGTATCTGGTTCACGTTGAGAAAGAGGAAGTCTGGCTTGTCCACTTGAACACAAAGATTGATTAGGGCAACCTTCACATGCTGAGGCTTTCCCGGCTAGATCACTTTGTGTACCAGGGCAGGGAGATGGGGCATCTAATGGAACATCTGACATTCTGGAGGTTAAGAAAAGGAATTTTACTATATATACATTGTACAGAAGCAAAAACGAAATTTTTTATCTAACACTCAATTGAAGACATGAAATCAGAGTTTTATATACGATCATCAAAAGGTTCACTAAATATATATCGGTAGGCAACAAATATCTTTTACAGGGTAATCGATAATTTGAGTACCAGTTGAATTTCTTCAAGCACTGTATAAAATAAGGGCACCCAAAAACTGAGGAACAGTCATATACTAGTATTAGCCTGGGAGTCAGATAAAGCAACTACATGGTTGAGAGCCAGCCGTTCAGATTACTGACTTATGATTTCGAGTATTTTCAGCTAGTGAGTGGTATGTTGTTTTAAAATGTGGGCTACTTTGGTGACAGTATCTTAGAGACATTAAGAAAAAGCGTACTGATTTCTTGGCTTTTCATTTTACTGGAGCTGAAGCGATTAGTACAAGTTTTCAAAATTTGTCAAATGTTGGAGTATGATTGATGCTGTTTTTAAAGTTATATGCCTGAGTAAGCGTTATAATACAGCTCTTTACTGTCAATAAATAGAACTGAATAAAGCGCTTTTATTTAACGTAATAATATCATCAAAGTTAAATAATGGGAGCAGGTATTACCTTATTATCATTTGAAATTGACTTTTGTATGCAATTGCTTAGGTAATTGATATAAAGGAAGTACCTGATCTCATTTAACCATATCTTAATATAACTGTATGTTACAATAAGTTTATTTAGATTGTCATAGTTCTATTATTATCAATCCGTCGTTCAATACGAGCTGAGAGGGTATATATAAAACTCCAGTATATTCTATACTAACTTCTTGAAAAAATGCAAAGTGGCAGTTTAAATTGATTACCAAACTAAAATATGCTAAATGATTGACTCCTTATAAGATGAAATTTAGTCACATATATATTAAATGTTTGGTTGGTTGAACTATTTTGTTTATTAAAACACTTTTTAGATAGATTGTACAAGTATTTACACGATCATCCTCAAAATTAACAATGTTAGGTGGGAATGAGTAAGTGATCTATAAGCAAGATAAAGATTCGCTGGTTGCTCGAATCTCTGAGTAACACATACCAGAAACTGACAGAACATAGACATTTAGTGATAAGTTGAAGCCATATGAATACATCATGATTTTTACAATAACTAGTGTGTTTGTTGATTTAAAAAGTTGTTGATGATAAAATTGCACTCAGTCGAATGCAAGTACAACTTGGAAAACATGTACATTGATCCAAGTTGCCATATCTCATTAGCATAGTAAAATGAAATTGTTAAAACGAAACCCAGAGTAGAAGAGGTAGAAACATTATAAGTGGTAGGAGAGAAGATTAGATATCGAAGATACGTTTCGAGAGAATGTAAATTGGTGGAAAAGGAAGTTACGACGAATTTAGAAACTTGGGATCTAAGGCAAGAAAGTGAGCGAATGCACGTGCTCTATTGCGACCGATTTCAAGCCATGTCACCTGGTCTAACTATTGGTCACGATAATCACATGGACCCCAACCAGATAGTCTTTATCTAATTGCATAGCTCAGTCCGATAGTCAGAGTTTTCAAGGACTGATGACGTGGCTTGATCTGACCGCCCCTAGATTCTTATCAGTTTAACCCTACACGAGCTATCATTGAGCATCGAGGTAGGTGGTGGATGGGCATAGATAATACATGCTTCAACAACATCAACCGATGGACATTGGCCATCTCATTAATCGATTCGCCATCCTTACCCTGTACTTGCTTTATGTCTAACTTCCCCCATTACACACTCAGTGGTTTTCCAACGTAAAAGAGCAATGCTTCAAGGAAACCTATGACCGAGTACTGGCAACCTACGAATATCCTCTATTCATGATGGCTATGTTCCATACCCACAAAGTAGGATGGATAGAACTGCTGCATAGTAAACTCGTCCATTGGTATGTAAACGGATATCTCACTTACTCTACGAGTGACACAAGTTAGCAAAAGCCAACCGGGCTCTCTGAACCCGTGTCAAAATCTCGTCAGACACCAACCCACTAGGGCTCGAGTATCGGATTAGCCTTGAAACTGATATTTCAACACTGTTAGTCGAACTGATTTCTCTGTGGTTATCACAAGAGTAGTTTTATCCTTTTTTTATAAACCGCAACGATCGGCCATCGACACCAGTGAGATGGGATTACAACCAGTCCCCGAAAGTCAGCTAAGATTTTAATCAATCTAACTGCTAAAACTTGACAACTACGCTCAAAGATTTTTGAGGCTGATTTGTCTGAACCTGCTGCATTCCCTCGCTTTAGATTCCTCATAACCTTTTGAAATAACATTCGGTTTCCTCCCTTACGCCAATGGAAAACTAACTTCCCTTAGACGAATATCTACACTAGATACCCTGCCATAGTCTATTCTACAGGACTTCAACAAAACTCGAATCAAGAACACGTGACTGGTCTAACTAGAACATGGGTTTATTTCTACGCCCCCAAATGCCCTGGTATGGCCGAGAGCGGTGTGGGTTCACTCTCCCTCTCGAAATACCCTCACACGGCCACGCGTATACAGCCTCTGCCAGGGAAGTCCTACTAACTGCCTTCTCATGGCGCCATCTTTGGCGCCTTCATGATGTCAGTCTAGCTGTAAAAGGTCGGATCTACAACGCGTCGGTGAGAGCAGTTCTGCTCTATGCTTGTGAATCCTGGCCTCTCCGAGTTGAGGACGTTAGACAACTCTGTGTTCGGTCATCGTTGTCTCCGAAGGATTGCTGACATCCAGTGGCAACACCATGTTAGTAATGCAGAGGTTCGGCATCGTGTGTTCGGGCACAGAGTCGATAATGCAATTGGTGTCACCATCTTGAAATACCGACTTCGGTGGCTTGGACATGTTCTACGAATGTTGTCCCAGAGAATTCTACGTCGTGCATTATTTGCCGACGCTGGGACTGGTTGGAAAAAGCGGAGAGGTGGTCAGTATATGACATGGTGTTGTGATATGAAAGAAAGCTGTACATGACTGGCTTGTGTTGGCCCTTCACGACTCCCTGACTGGGATCCGAGAGATAGCGCAACACAGTGGCTAGAGACGTTATCAGATATGGCTCAGAATAGAAGCCAGTGGCGATCCTGCTGTAACCTTCTTTTACTTTCTTCATAAAAAAATGGTTGTATCTTCCTTAACTGAAGGATTTCTTCTGATTGTACCTTTCCGTTCCCCCATTATTACCACTATTATTATTACACTACCCTACGCCAATCTCTTCCCTATTGTTCTTTTTCTACCCTCCTTACCTTTTTTCCCTTTCCTTCTCTTTAAATTCTCATTGTTTTGTGTGGCGCATATATATTTGGCGCACTCTTGTACCAATATGTATGTGTTCACATAAAAATAAATAAATAAATAGTAATAACAAGAGTAGGAAAATATACAACATTCGTAATACCTGTCAGACTAAATAGACAATCAATCACTATTTTCCTAGCCCACACACCTTTTCAACTAAGAGTTGGAGAGGTTATGTAAAGTCAGCATTCAGGTCGCTTAAAGATGATGGGTGACAAATGTGGCTGAGGGCCTGTTGAACTAATCCCTAAAGTGTGTTGTCCAGCAGACAATTTTCCTTGTGCCGAATATTTAGAACAAATAAGTCATCAGGATAACCAATATTCTATTAAAATTGTCAGAAATCCCAAGCAACAAATAAAGGGGAAATTTTTACTTCTTTCCTTGACGTCGGGCATTCGGGGGTATGCGGAAAGTAGACAACACCCAACTGCGTCACAAGGCAAGTCCTTATTCGAAATCCTTGAGGTCAAAGGAGAAGAGGAAGACCAAAGAATACATTACTCCGAGAAATGGAGACAGACATGAGAAGACTGAACAACAATCGGATAGAACTAGAAAGGAGGGCCCAGGACAGAGTGGGTTGGAGAATGTTGGTCGGCGGCGTATGCCCCATTGGGAGTAAAAGGCGTAAGTAAGTAAGGAAGGAAAGTAGACAACTTGACCACATTACGAGCCTAAAGCGATAAAAAGAGGGATTTTTCACATTATTCCCTTATAGTTGGTGTAAAAGGAGACTTTAGGGACGTTTCTCCATTATTTCCCTTATTTTCTGACGGAGTAAATTTATTCCCCGTTTTTCGGTTGCTTGGATTACCTTAGAGTTAGGCTCGTAAGTACACCTAGCCAAAAGTCGACATCATGAACAACTGAGGGCACATTTAAGCAGTTCTGAAAACGACGGTGATCCAGATGTTACTTGGAATGATATACGAATAGTTGTGGAAACAGTAGCGACATCTACTAGTGATTTAAACCAAAGGGTTACGAAAAACCAATGGATTTCTACTAAACCTTTTGCAGTAATAGACTCTCGTAAACTTATCCCATCGTGCTCTAAACATGAAGAAGAGTGAGAATAAATCAGATCTACGTTAACCAAAAGTCTAAGGAACGACCGTGAGCAACGAAAGCAAAAGAGATGAAGGCAGAGGCTGTAATTAACATCAGATAGCTTTTCAGACTAATAAAGGAAACTGGGATTAAGAAGTCAAGTGTTTACAACTTCACTTATCTTGGGAGTCTGATCAGCCGTAATGGGTTGGTGTCTGGCGAAATCTCTGCACGGATTCGAAAAGCTCGTTTGGTTTTTGCTAACTTAAGTCACCTATGGCGAAGGCGAGATAGCCGTCTATCAATTAATGGACTGCGAACTGCAAACACGAGAGAATTAAGCTGGCTTCAGACCTGGTCGTGGCTGCATCGACCACATATTCACCATTCATCAGGTTCTAGAACATAGGCATACTTATCGGCGTCCGACAATGGTGGTCTTTCTTGACTTAAAAGCAGCATTTGACTCGGTAGACCGCGAGATTCTGTGGCAGTGTCTGTCATTGAAAGGCGTACCTCAGAAGTACATAAACCTTGTGAAGGCTCTTTACTCGAACACTACTAGTCGAGTCAGAGCTTATGGCGAACTGTCATCTACTTTTGCAACTCCAAGTGGTGTCCGTCAAGGCTGTCCACTTTCTCCATTTTTGTTTAACTTCATCATAGACCTATTGATGGAAATAACACTCTCGTCGACTGAATTCTCGGGTATTGATCTCCTTCCAGGAGGTCCACTTATCGACTTAGAATACGCAGATGATATAGTCCTGTTTGGTGAAGAGGCTGACAAAATGCAGAGTCTTCTGGTAGCACTGAGCAACAATGCCAGAATGTTTGGGATGCGCTTCTCTCCCTCTAAATGCAAGTTGTTGCATCAGGACTAGCCTGCATTAAAATCTGAACTAAGGATAGGGAGTGAAGTAGTCGAACGCGTTGACAACTTCACTCATCTTGGAAGTCTGATCAGCCGTAATGGGTTGGTGTCTGGCGAAATCTCAGCACGGATTCGAAAAGCTCGTTTGGTTTTTGCCAACTTAAGTCACCTATGGCGAAGGCGAGATAGCCGTCTATCAATTAATGGACTAGTATACTGCGCAGAAGTTCGATCTGTTCTAACTTACGGCTCCGAAACGCCACCATTGAGGGTAGAAGATACTCGTAAGCTACTAGTATTTGACAACAGATGTTTTAGAAATAATACTGGTATCTGCTGGGCTCACCGGGTAAGTAATAGTGAGGTTAGAAGTAGGGTATTAGGGAATGCTGGTAGATCAGTTGATGAGGCTGTCAATCTTCATCGACTGAGATGGTTGGGCCACGTGTTACGTATGCCCGAACACCGATTACCACGACGTGCAATGCTGACCGGTGTTGGAGATGGTTGGAAGAAAGTTGGGGGCGGCCAAACCAAAACGTGGCATCAGTCCTTGAAGTCACTAACTTCTGGTATGAGCCATGTTGGTAGATGCAGACTACTTGGTTGGGGTCCGCGTGACTATCGTAACTAATGGTTGGAGACTCTTGGTGACATGGCTCAGAATCGATCACAATGGCGTAGGTGTATACACTCTCTGTCTTCCCTTAAACTATGAGATTAAAATCGCTCCATATCCTTCTTTCTACCAACTAATTCTTTCTTCCTGTAATATATCCTTATATGCAACCTTTCTTTTATATATTACTACCATTGAAGCAACTACTTCTATGAATTTGGTGTTTATCAGTCTTCAGTAATAAGGATAGTAGGTTGGTGAACCTGTATTAATCCTTGAAAGTATTCACTGATGGGGCTGATACCACTTGTTCGAGTAAGGCGTTCCAATGATTGACTACTCGATGAGAAAAACAAGACCCCACTTTAAGTTTATTAGATCGTGGTTTATGAACCTTCTTGCTATGACCTTGGAGATTATTAGTGCTGGAGGGAGCAAAAAGATAAGACATATTAACACCCAAATCATAATTAAAGATACGAAATGCCAGTATAAGGTCACCTTGTATCCTATGATACGACAAGGGGAAAAGATTTAGAAGTTTTAACCGCTCATCGTAAGGGAGTCTAGAAAGACCCTTCACTAATTTCGTTCCCACACTCTGGACACGCTCAAGGGAGTTAGTATCCTTTGCCAGACATGGGCTAGCTGCTTGGATACAGTACTCTAAATGTGGTCTAACATATATGGGATATAAAATTCGAAACTTTTCCTCGTCAAAAGATTTGAACGCTCGACGAAGTGACCATAACGTACGAAAACCTTTGACAGCGGCTGCTTTGCAGTGCGTAGTTGTTTTTAAATCATGACTTAATACTACTCCTAAGTCTTTATGCGCTTGAACGCATGGAAGAGGTTTACCCTCAATAGTGTAACGGTAACTATTACCGTGACCGATGTGCATTAACACACTCTTCCTAACATTAATTTCTAAACCCCAACCTCGAGCCCATCTAACTAAATCGTCTAAGTCAGCTTGAAGATCCAGATGATCAGCCGCACTTTTTATTGTTCTCCAGATTTTTACATCATCCGCAAACAATAATGTCGACGATCTGAGCAACATCAGTGACATACTAACGTAGAGAAGGAAGAGCAGAGGGCCTAAGATGGTGCCTTGGGGTACACCACTTTTGACTGGCTTCCAATCAGATAGCTTTCCGTTGACTCTCACTCTCTGTCTGCGGTCACATAAGAAATTTCCTATCCACTCATGTACAGTACCTATTATTCCGAAGCTCGTGAGCTTCTGCATAAGACCTACATGTGAAACCTTGTCAAATGCTTTGCTAAAATCTATGAATATTACATCGACAGACAGACCGTTATCTAGGGCTGCTGTTCAATCCTCCCTCGCAATAAACAAGTTAGTCAAGCATGAACGCTTGTTACGAAATCCGTGTTGTTCAGGAGCTAACAGATTATGTGAAACTATGTGGCTTAGCAACCTAACTCGAATTATCTTTTCAAGTAACTTAACGACTAGTTAGACTGACAGGCCGGTAGTTAGATACTACCTGTCTATGACCGTCCTTAAATATAGGACTGACTATAGCGTCCATCCAATCTCTAGGGAGTTGAGCGAGTGAAAGGGACATGTTGAGGAGTGTCACGAGCGGTTTTGAAATAATGTCCGCAAGAGATGACAACAACCATGGATGTAACCCGTCAGGGCCCGGTAACTTACCAGGTTTGAGGTTAGTTATCAACGGAAGGACAGTTTCCTCAGTCACCTGTACAGATTCAATGGTTTGTATCTCGGTGTGAGTGGGACAAGTATTTGTTGCAATAAACGTAGAGTAGACTTCGCTAAAATACTTTGAAAAAGTCTCAGCTTTTGCTCGATCTGATTCAGCTAGTAAATCCGAATTTCCGTGTAACAGTAACAGGGGAATACCATCACTACTTTTCATTCGCCGTTTAACATGCGAAAACAATCGTTTCGGACAAGTACGGCTATCATATACTAACTGTCGTTCGTAAGTGGTACGGGATTTGGCTATGGTTTTCTTACAGATATTACGGAATTTTTGGTACTCACGCTTAAATGGTGCATGACCTGTCAACAAGAATAAGTCCCAGAAATGTTTCCTACGCCTTAACAGCTTCCGGGTTTCCTCATTAATCCATGGAGGGTAATGATAGCCTACGTGTTGACCATGGGATAAACGGCAACGTTACGGACCCGAATGTAGCCTTAAACTTATTCCATTAATCTTCGATCAATCCATCCGAGTCGACCGACCAATAAGTCGAGATAGCATAGTTTCTGATTGCCGAAATATTGGCTCGCCAGATATTGGGACGAGGTGGAGCAGATACGAATTGTATACCATGTGTCCTAAACTTAAAGTGAATTACAACGTGATCACTGTTCACTAGTGGGGGAAGGTGCTGAATATCAAAGACATCCTCACAGTGATGGGTGAGGGCGAGGTCCAGCAGTGACGGATCATGATTGAAATCAATGTGTGTCGGTTTTGTGATACATTGTACAAATGCACACTGAATAACGGTAGATAAAAGGTTACTATTAAAACTACTACCTGGAGCTGTGAGCTCTATCCAGTTGATATGTGGTGCGTTGAAGTCTCCAATGATGAGACAACATTCTGCCATACTCCAAGAACAGATGTGTCGTCAGCAAGACAAAATGGACCACGGTATATTCCCCCCATAGTCACTAACCCATTTCTAGATTTAATCTTACAACATGCAACCTCACATGTGCCACTGATATGAGCCTCCGATATGGTTGATTGTATACGAAAGTGATCCCTAACGTATTATATTATCTTATTGTGCTAATGAGGCATGGTAACTTAGACCGATGCATATATGTGCCTGGTCCTACTTTGTAGCTAACTGACTGACACCTAGCTTAGCTAGGAAAATAATAAGGTTGTTTGCTTTTATCCTGAATGTAATTTGGTTACTAGGGGAGAGTGCAGAGTAGCGTTTGTAGTGAAAACTACCCAATCTCTTTATTTTGAGGTTTTCCAAAAGTCATGAGAAATATGGTTGTTTTCCCCAGCTTGGGGAATATTTGGGGTTTTTGTGCCGTTTCTCCACATTTTTATATAGCGGTTTCCTCAAAAGTTACCCAAACTGTGGGAATTTTCCCCTAAAATAGGGAGATTGGGTGGAAAGGAGGAAGATAAAAAGATGAGCCAACGACTAAGGAAGAGCACACAATATATGCATATTTATTTATGGATGGGGTCGGAAAATAAGCATTAACACAAACCTAACACTAACACAATCTGGAGAAGTAGGTAGTATGGTCGTAAAGAGGCAACGACCAAGGTTGCCGAGCACTTGAAGGTCAAACTGTCGTAAACCGATTGGCACGTCACCTCGACAATTAGTAGTGGTTTGCAGAAGTAATCAAATCAAGACAATTATAAGTTTGATTTGAGTTCAGTGGACTGCAATTAAACTCAACTCAATTTCATTATCGTGGCAGTCTGCTTGGTAATCAACCAGAATGAAGCGGGAACTATTATATCCACTATCTTTGTAAGCAACGGAGGTCGGATTTCCTGGTTCTGCCCCCCCCCCGCTGTTTCTTTTGTGTAGCTCTATAATCTACCCGACCCAACGACCTTAGGCTGAAGTTCTCTACATCATTTCTAATGTTCACCAGGTGTGTTGTGCCCATAAAATTCAGTCATTTCCCGTTCATCTAGCAGATACTTTTTGATCTTGTAGCGGTAAATAAATCCCCAAAATAAATAGCACTAAGTTTTCGACATTGGATGCTGACCATGTGTTTTAGTGGACTCATCTAGCTGAAGGCGCTCGGTCAGGCATCCGCACCAGATCACGTGTGGTAACGCCGTGCTCAACATCAACCGCAAACGCTAGCCAGATTAGATCAGAGAATTCCGATATATTGGTCAACGCCAAATATACTCTTCCGATCTCCTCGACTCTGTCTTTTGATTTCTCTGGGCGGGAACGAAATATATTAGGTGTTACTGGTAGAAGCGTTGTCAAACACTGAATACCCGTGACATCATCATTGGTGAAACCGACGTGATCTGGTACACCCAATTGCAACTGTGAGTCTGTTCCTTTTTGGGATTTTTATATATCATTGCCTTATTTTTTATTTTTTTAAACATTATGATTTTTTTTCGTGTTTTTTCTTGGATATATATATTTTTCCCCCTCGTTCATTATCGTACTTCATATTTCATCATGACTGAACAGACACTCAAAGTACTTAAGCTTAAGACTTTATCCCCGCCTTCGTTTCAACTGATGCCTTTCTGGCCCGACAACATCGAAGCCTGGTTTTGCTACTCAGAAGCCGGCTTCTCCGAGCACGGTATGATCGACACACGTGCACAATTTCTCGCAGTAGTCAAGGCACTACCGCGCGAATTCAACAGATACGTAACACCTAGTATGTTTACTAGTGATGTTTCCGATCCTTACGTAATCATAAAACGCTCGATTCTTAAACGAGGAGACCTAACCGATCGACAAAGGTTAGATCAACTCTTCAACAATATCGACCTGCAACACGGTTCTGCGACGGACATGTTGCAACGGATGAGAGAGGTAATAGGCCCAAGAACTTTCGACGAAGATCTATTCAAACAACTCTTCTTGTCAAAACTTCCCCAACAGGTGCAAGCAGTTCTGGTCTCGTTTCAGAAAAACGCCTTAGACGAGCTAGCTGCATCTGCCGACCGCATTCTAGAAATTACGAAACCTACTACCGAGGTATTTTCAGTCAAAGAAAAGCCTCACACGACTCAGAATGATATAACCGACTTATGTAACACACTCACGCGTTATCTTAGTCTTCGTACCGACCGTAAGAGATCGCGCACACCACGTAGAAGCATTTCTCGTAAGCGATCTGTCTCTAGACCACGAGAGACAGATAACCCCGATTGGTGCTGGTATCATAACCAGTATGGAAAGCTTTCCAGAAATTGCAGAAAACCCTGCAACCGATCGCTACGTATGGCAAAAAGTACATCTACCTTAACGTGCGTTTACGCAAACCCATTCACTGGATCTTCGTTGTTGCAGATGTTTCTATGTCAATTGTTGGTGTAGACCTGCTGCAACACCATAATCTACTCATCGATACGCGCAAACGGAGGCTGGTAGACGGAAACACTAATTTATCTGTTAGCGTAACTTCTTGTTGAGGTCGCAGATTATCTCCAGTCACAAATAAGCATACGATAGATCCATTTTATCAACCACTACCCGATAAGTACTCCGAGATATACCAAACGCAACCGAAATTGCCGTGTGTAACCAGCAATGTTACACATCACATCAGGACTACAGGACCACCTGTATTCTCGAAAGCATGCCGACCGGCCTCCGAAAAGCTAAGGTTGGCGGAAAACTAATTCGACCATATGATAGACTTAGGTATCATAAGACCGTCAAACAGCCCATGGGCATCTCCGTTGCACATGGTCCCTAAAAAAGACAGCAACGATTGGCGTCCAACTGGTGATTATCGGCGATTGAACGCGAAAACCATTCCCGATCGTTACCCGTTGCCTCACATTCACGATTTGACAGCTACCTTGAAACATACAACTGTCTTTTCGAAAATCGACTTGGTTAAAGCGTATAACCAAATCCCTATGGCTACTGACGACATACCGAAAACAGCTATCATAAATCCCTTCGGACTCTATGAATTTTTGCGAATGCCTTTCGGTCTAAGGAATGCTGCTCAAACATTCCAAAGATTCATAGACGACGTTTTTCGAGGTCTCAACTTCGTACACGCGTATGTTGATGACTGTCTAATCGCAAGTCCGGACAGAGAAACACATCTCAAGCATCTGGGTCTTGTTTTCGACCGACTACAAAAGCAAGGCATTACTGTAAACGTTCAGAAATGCCAAATTGGAACCGACTCATTAGACTTTCTGGGACACACTATCGATGCTCAAGGTATCCGACCCCTTAGAACCAAAGTGGCCGCCATTCTGGATTACCCAGAACCGACCACCGTCAAGCAATTACGCACATTTAACGGCCTCGTAAGTTTCTATAGACGTTTCATACCGAAATGCGCATTACTCATGAAACCGCTAACCGACCAACTTCGTGGAAATGCGAAGTCCATTAATTTGGACGACAACGCACGAAAAGCATTCTCCACAGTTAAGGAACTGATTGCCAAAGCAACAATGCTCGCACATCAGGACACCGAAGCACCCCATTAGTATCGCAGTAGACGCATCCGACTCGGCGATCGGAGGAGTCTTACAACAATGGGTCAACAACTCATGGCAACCCTTGGCATTTTTCTCTAGACGGTTGCTAGACACCGAATCGAGGTACAGCACATTCGGTAGGGAACTCTTAGCTATGTATTGTGCTGTACGGCATTTCCAACACTACATCGAAGGCCGTGAATTCACTCTCTTCACGGACCATAAACCGCTCACTTTCTCGTTAAGCTCTCCTTCTGACAAGTACTCTCCCCGTGAGTCTCGACAACTGGACTACATTTCGCAGTTTACTTCAGATATTCAACACATCTCTGGAGCAAACAATGTAGTTGCAGACGCCTTATCTCGCATAACTTCCTTGAACAGTTTCCAAGAAATCGACCTTCTTAAACTCGCCCAGCTTCAAAAAGAAGACAGTGATCTTCAGCACGAGTTATCGTCCACAACCCTTAAACTACGCATCAAACAGATGGGAACAGGTAAGGAAACTGTAGCGACTCACGTTTATCACGAGAACACGACTGGTTTAATAAAAACAATTATTATTATAACCAACTGTACCAGTGTTTGTTTTAATGTGCTTTTGTTTGACTGTGCTAATGACAGCTATTTTGTGCTTCCATTCTTATACTTACACTTTGATTGTAACTTCGCGCGAATTCGGTTACCTAAAGTAACCAAGCTTGTATCCTGGCACGATCTCGGTATCCTTTCGATGCCACAAGATCGCCAGCTAATAAACCTCGACTTGGTCCATTAACTGTCTTCTGATATTTGGCTTCTCGGGGATTTTATGGAGTCATTTGGAACGAGCTTCTTACGCCTTCTGATCTAATTGGCACGTGTTTCTTGGTAGCGGTGTTCATAGTTAATCTCAACTCGACGCCACGCTACAATTGGTAATCCCAATTCGAATACAAAACCTTACTTTGTGACACATCTACAGGTAGGGATCGCCCAATCGTGTCGAAACATTATCGACGCAATGTCTTCAATACATTGCACAAACTTTCTCATCCAGGTGTTCGATCAACCATCAAGCTTATAGCAGAACGGTTTTGCTGGCCTGGCATGAATAAAGACGTGAGGGAGTGGGCACGCTCCTGTGTAAGCTGCCAAAAATCTAAGGTTATCAGACACAATAAATGTCCCTTAGGCTCATTTAAAACTCCCGATGCTCGTTTCGACCATGTTCATCTGGATTTGGTAGGACCGTTGCCAGATTCAAATGGATACTCTTATCTCTTAACCTGCGTAGACCGTTTCACTCGATGGCCAGAAGCAGTGCCTATCAAGGACATCACTGCTGAGACAGTGGCCCGCACCTTCGTCGAACGATGGGTAGCAAACTTCGGTTACCCTTCAACCATCATTACAGATCGCGGACGTCAGTTTGAATCTGATCTTTTCCGTCGTCTGACCACACTTTTAGGAAGCACTCACTTCCGAACGACCGCCTACCACCCACAAGCAAACGGGTTGGTAGAACGCTTTCACCGACAACTGAAAGCTTCACTATCAGCTGCAAACGTTTCACAGTGGACCGACGGTCTTCCACTCGTCTTACTAGGTATCCGCAATTCAGTGAAAGCTGACATTGGATACAGTGCGGCTCAACTCGTTTATGGAACGACACTTCGACTTCCAGGAGAATTCGTGGATCCTTCGTCCTTTTCAATGAACATGGATCTAACCTCTTACACGAACAGGCTTGCAAACGCAATGCGTTCAGTTAAACCTGCTTCCACTCGACCTCAATTGACTGATGTTTTCGTTCAACCTGACTTACGATATAGTACACACGTTTTCGTTCGTCGAGACTCGCATCGACGGCCATTCGAATCAGCATACGAAGGACCCTTCAAAGTTCTTCAACGTGAATCTAAGTACTATATAGTCGACAAGAACGGAACCAACCATAGCATCAGCATCGATCGCTTAAAAGCAGCGTATTTAGAATGAAATCCTATCTACGTGGATTTTCCTTCGGTACAACCGGACGACACGGCTCCGACACTTATAATACCTCATCCGACAACCAACACACACGATGATACTTCGACAGTATCCGAAAATAAACTTAAAACGACGCGTTCTGGAAGAAGGGTGAG